TGAAATGCGTTGAAAACGTTTTCTCAAAACTCCAGAGGAGAAGTTTTCAGCAATTCAAAAATTGGGAAATTCAATTATATCCGGAAAAGACAAAATATAAGGAAGGAGGAGCCAAGCTGAATGCTGACTCCGGAGGAAAAGCAAGAAAGGAAGCAGATAGCAGAGGTCCTTGATGGGATGCTGTGGTCTTTCAAAATGGTGTTTATGAAGTAACTTTAAGGCAGGAAAAAACGCTTTAAATTTGAAGTTTAGAGGAAAAGAACAAAATTTAAAATCATATATATAAAAGTTTAAATATAATACAGAAAGCTGGCAGCATATACAAAAATAGGGACAAGCTTTCTGAAAAACAAGTTGACAATATCCATCAAGAGCCCTCAATATTTTCTTATTCTTGGACGAAAGTACCCCACTATTAAGAATTTAACCTAGAGAAATAATCAGAGGCACACAGAAGCATCTATGTCCAAGGATGTACATCATAATATTATTTATAAAAGTAAACAAGTTTTTAAGGCTGGGCGTGGTGGCTCACGCCTGTAATCCCAGCACTTTGGGAGGCCAAGGCCAAAGGATTACAGGAGCCCGGGGGTTCGAGGTCAGTCTGGGCAACTTGGTGAAACCTCATCTCTACAATAAATCAAGAAAAATTAGCCAGGAGTGGTGGCGCATGCCTGTAGTTCCAGCTACTTGGAAGCCTGAGTGGAAGGATCACCTGAGCCCTGCAGCTCGAGGTTGCAGTGGCTGTGAGTGTGCCGTTGCACTCCAGCCTGTGCAACAGAGTGAGACTCTGACTCAAAAAAAAAAAAGTAAACAAGTTTTTAAACAACCTAAATGCCTGAAGCAAAAAATACAGTTATTAAAATTCATTGTTTTTAAAGACTATTTAATGGCATGCAATTCACAGTCTAATGCTAAATAAGATGCATACCACATATGCGTATACACGTGTACACACACATGTACAAGAAAAGGACTGGAAGAAAACATACCAAATGTTGATAGTAGTTCCTTCTGAGAGGAAGATTATGGGTGATTTTTATATTTTTCTTTATGGTTTTCTTAATTTGCTTTTTTAAAAAATTTATTTATTTATTATAAAGATGTGGGGTACAATTAAGGATTAGGTACATAAACACTGATCATGCAGGTACCCTTGTTTCTTCATTTTCAATTGTTTGTCATGACTATGTAAGACTTTTACAATCAGAAAAATATTATTTTCATCATGTTTTTGAAGATTATGTAACATTATAAGAAAATGTTCAAAATATATTAAGTCGAAAACTGGGTAAAAAGCTGGATATACACTATGATTCCTATTTTTTATAAATTCCATTTCTTGGATTTTTTTAGAGTAAACATGAGCTTTTATCATCAGAAAATTTAGGCTTTAATCCTGGCTCTGTCAAAGAAATGTACAAACAACCACGAAAAAGACTAAGGAACCCTGTGTGGATTGAGAATGCCCACCGTGGCACGCTAGGGTGAGTGTGACACGTCTTCCTTTTTAGAAATAATTGATTGATATACCTGCATAGCCATAGAAACTACCTATTTGTATACCTGCAGAGCCATAGATAATACTTATAAGAACTATGTGAAACATGCACTTTGGACTCTTAATGTTGTTAAGTGGAAGACCATGAGACTGGAGAGCTTACAAAATCCTGACTTCACTTTCATTTGATATATTTCTGCATGGTCTGAATTTTTTTCATAATAAGCATTACAATTTTAAAAACCAAGACATAATTTTTAAGCTGATAGACTTTCTTGTTTAGAGCAGCAGCTTGGGGTTTACAGAAAAACTGAGCAGAAAGTACAGAGTTTTCAAATGCAGTTGACTTCTGAACAGTGCGGGTTTGAGCTGCATGGATCCACTTACACACATTTTCTTTTGCCTCTGCCACCCCTAAGACAGCAAGCTCACTCTTCTTCCTCCTCCACCTCTTCAATATGAAGACGATGAGGATTAAGACCTTTATGAGTATCTAAGTCCATTTCACAAACAGTAAATATATTTTCTCTTCCTTATGAGGTTTTTTTTTTTTGGAGTCGGAGTCTTACTCCGTCGCCCAGGCAGGAGTGCAGTGACACGCTCATGGCCACCCCAGCACTGACATGCTGGGATCCAGCGATGCTTCTGCCTCAGCCTCCCAAGTAGCCGGAACTACAGGCGTGTGCTGCCGCACCCAGCTAATTTTTTATTTTTGTAATTGTAGAGACGAGGTCTCGCCAAGTTGCCTGGGCTGGTCTCGAACCCACAGGCTCAGGCAATTCACTCACCTCGGCCTCCCCAAGTGCTGGGATTACAGGCTGAGCCACCAAGCCCGGCCATGAGTTTCTAAATAACATTTTATTTTCTCTAGCTTGCTTTATTGTAAGAATACAGTATATAATACATATAATATACAAAATATGTGTTAATTGACTGCCTATGTTATCAGTAAGGCTTCTTGTCAAGAGCAGGCTATTAATAGCTAAGTTTAGGGGAGTCAAAAGTTATACGCAGTTTTTCGATGGCACAGGGGTCAGCACCCCTGATCACCAAGTTGTTGAAGACTGGAATATGTAATTTTAAAAAAACTCAAAACCACCAAAATGCATTTACTAGACAATGCACTTGTCAACAATGTTTGATTGTCTCCAAAATGGTGATAAGGATCCATCCGCTGCTTTCCCTCCATGCCCAAGTGGCTCCTCCCACCACAAGGTGGCATTTATTTCTCCTCCCTTGACTCTGGGCTGGCATATTGACTTTATTTGGCCAAGAGATGGTGACCAAAGTTATATAACTATTATAGGTATAATGATGTTCTTACCTACCCTTAACACGTATGCTTAACACTTTTATGTACCGACCACAAGTGGTATGAGTATGTACTGTTTTTTTTTATTTTTAAAAACCTCAATACATAAGAAATATAGATTTGTTATAAAACATTTTTAAACAAAAGTTTAGAAAGTAGCCAGGCTCGGTGGCTCAGCCTGTAATCCCGTACTTTGGGAGGTTGAGGTGAGTGGATTGCCTGAGCCTGCAGGTTCGAGACCCGCCTGGGTAACTTGGCAAGACCTCATCTCTACAATAAATCAAAAATTAGCCAGGCATGGTAGCACGCGCCTGTAGTTCCAGCTATTTGGAAGGCTGAGGTGGAAGGATGGCCGGAGTCCAGCAGGTCAAGGTTGCAGTGGCCGGGAACTCCAGTCTGGGTGACAGAGTGAGACTCTAACTCAAAAAAAAAAGAAAGTAAAACGTGAAAATCTCTCCTCCATCTTCCAGAACCTCACTTGGCAGTTAATTATTCTTATGGGCTCTGCTTTCATTATCAAAAAACACAAAGCAAAAAATTACAGTGAACAAAAAGTACCTTCCAGAGAAGAATGAAAATAATTTCTTCTATAAAAAGCGTACCTACTACAGAAATGCCTATGTTAGGAGACAGTCCTCCACAGGTCTCTTACATTTGCACATCTTGCAGGCAGATGCACTTTTTTTCCATACTGTTTTCAAGAATGTTTGTACAGGTTGAGTATCCCTTATAAAAAATGCTTGGTACCAGAAGTGTTTCAGATTTGGGCTTTTTTTCGGATTTTGAAATATTTGCATGATAGCATCCCAAAACCAAAACTCCTAATCTAAAGTTTCCTTTGACTATGATCTTTGAGCATCAGATCAGCACTCAATAAGTTTCAGATTTTGGATTTCGGATTAGGGATACTCAACCTGTATAGCAAGCAGTCTCGGAAGAGAGACAGAGACTCTCTCTGGAGCTGAGAACAGATATATCTCTGTCCAGGAGAGAAGTTGGGGTTTCCTCAGCTGAGGTCTCCTCTCCTGTAAAACAATCCAATGCATGTGAGGTGATATCTGATCCTTCACCATACCTCCCAGAGAAAGTGAAAAGAATTTCCTCCATAAAGGTAGTAAGTGGAAAATTTGGGCTTGGGAAACCAATGCTCTGGCTACTGTTATTGCCTCTGTCTCTGACCCAGGGGTCTCAAGTCATCTGCCAGCATTCATGAACTATGGCAGACTGACAAGTTACGACTGTTAACTTACTAACAAGTTGCAGGCTGTAATTAGGGTAAAATCTCAGACTCTACTAATTCTTGATACATCTTCATAAACATATTTCTTTAAGCCATTTTCTAACCACTGTACCCAATTTGGTGGATTTTCTTACCTACACGGCTCCAACCACCGGCCTACCAACCAAGCACTCCTGAGCCCCTACTGATTCCCTGCCAGAAGTCTCTCCATTTCTGATCCAATCTCCCCAGTCCTCAACAATCCTACAGGTTTCCCATAATACACAGACACATCGTTTCTCTTCTGAGGAAAACAAAACTTTGTCTTGTAAATAGTACGATGTTGTCACAGTAAAAAATAAGGGAGGCCACTTATTTTTCTAAGTTTTAGGGGTGAAAAAGCAAGTACCTGCAAAACAGCATAGCAAGAGCATACCTGGCAAGGAGTCCATAGGAAAGGGAGACGGACAGGAAAATGCTAGTGCATTCCAAGGTCAGGAGAACTGAACAGTCCACCTCCAGCCCTCCACATACATAAGAGTAGAAATGCTGACATTAGATTAATTCAGAAAAGGAAAATCAATCTGTTCCACAGACTGTCCAGACAGCTCTGATGTACGGTGGACAGGGTTTTCTAGCAGGCAAATGAAAGCAAAACCATCAGGAATCTGCCCTGTGTATCACCTTCCGTCTGGAAATAAAGCTGACATGATTTACAGAATAATGTTCTTGGAGATCAAGGAAATGACCTTGGGCAGCAAAGGAAGGTTGGCTAGGAAAAAGATTACTGGCAGGGAAAACAAGCCTGCACATATACTTGGAAGTCCTTGAATTTTTGACAGCGTCTACTGTTGGGATTGATTCTCACGGTTGGATGAAAATCATGGCCCTGCCTGAAGGCTCAAAGTGACCTCTCTGAGTGCTCTGAAAGGAAGCAACATGAAGGAAAAGAACATACGGGAACTTACCCAATGGTAGGGCTGATGTTGTGGTCAAAGTGATCCTGGACAAAGCGACACACAATGCTTGATTTCCCAACTCCGGTGTCCTAGAAGAGAAAGAGGACACAACCATAAAGGTCAAGAGTGCCAATTCTGACCTAATATAAACATACAACAGAGGACAGGAGGGATTATTTCTGGTTGATGTGACTGGCAGAGAGGGTGGGGGGACGTCTTCTATTTCTTGTCAACGTTTTCTATAATGAAATTGTATTGCTTTCATAGAAAGAAGTGTGGTTTAAAAAAATGTTTTAGAAACACACCCCACATGTGTACAATAATTAACGTAGAATGAACATGTTCATAATACATCCATTTCCAGAAATTTGAAAATTTTTGGAGGGGTGTAGAGAAGAAGTATGTTAACACACCACATTGTTTCAGTAGAAATAGAATTAACATCGTTCAAAACCCCAGCACTCAAAATACATGTAATCTGTTTCTCTAGCTGTCTCCCTATAAGACCTATGGATTCTAATTTCTACCTTTTTAACATTTTCTCTTTAGAACCTGATGGTTGAATAATAATCTCCAAATTTTGCTTCATTATATAAAGCTCTCGGTCTCAGATCTTTCTGTTAAATAAATTCTTTAACACTGATTAGGGTAAGGGTCCAATTACACATGGGAAATTGAATACATGTGTTTATATCCACTCCCTCCAAAATCCTGGCAAAGTGGTTGAAGCAATAAAAGACACAATAAAATTCACAAGGTCAAAAAGGAAGGAGAAGAGACAACACCGGACAAGTGGTCCTTGAGAAGGAAGAAGCTAAAAACAAAGTGCTGGCAGGGAGGAAAGTCAATGAGAATAAGACAAATCATGCCAGAGAATTCCAGAAAACATCAAGAATTGGAGGACAAGAATTAGTTGGAAGGCTACACACAAGCATACCTTTGGCGTCCCAGGTTACATAACTAGGAGACAGAGCCCCCCACACTGAGGAGGAGATGGGGGCTAATTCTCCAGGAAACCTCATCAGACAGGAGCTGGACTTGGGGACCTCAAGCACAGCTAAGGGAGAGAGGACAGGAGCTGTTCAGCTGAGTTGAGCTAGATAAGCAAGGCAGAAGCAGTGAGGGCCCCCTTAAGGTAAGAGAAAAAAAGCCCTACAGTTTCTGATATTTGAGGTCCTCCAACCAAATGCCATGTACGCACCAGCTGACAAGTCCCAGTGCAGAGCTTTCAACTTACATTTTAATATTTTAAAAATAAACACTCAGTTAAGAAATAACAGATATTTACACACACACACACACACACACACACACACACACACACACACACACACACAAAGAGCAGGATACTGTTTTAAAAGATCATTCAGAGAATAAAACCAACCTCTTAAAAATATCAGCCAGGCCTGTAATCCCAGCACTTTGGGAGGCTGAGGTGAGTAGATGGCCTGAGCCCACGGGTTTGAGACCAGCCCAGGCAACTTGACGAGACATCGTCTCTACAATAACTCAAAAATTAGCTGGGTGTGGTAGCACGCACCTATAATTCTGGCTACTTGGAAGGCTCAAGTGGAAGGATCGCCAGAGTCCAGCAAGTCGACACTGGGGTGGCCGTGAGTGTGCCACTGCACTCCAGCCTGGGCAACAGAGACTCTAACTCAAAAAAAAAAAAAAAAATCAGCTGGGCACTGTTGCTCATGCCTGTAATCCCAACACTTTGGGAGGCCAACATGGAAGGATTATTTAAGCCCAGGAATTCAGAGACCAACCTGGGTAACATAGCAAGAACTTGTCTCTATAATTTTTCTTTTAATTAGCAGGGCATAGTAGTGCATGCCTGTAGTCCCAGCTATGCAGGAGACTAAAGTGGGAGAATTGCCTGAGCCCACAAGGTTGAGGCTGCAGTGACCTGTGATTGTGCCACTGCACTCCAGGCTGGGCAACAGAGTGAGACCCTGACTCCAAAAAAAAAAAAAAAGTTAAAAACATAATGGTAGAAGTTAAAATTTTAATGAGGAGTCAGAAGATAAAATTGCCCAGAAAGTACAACAAAGTAGAGCAAAGCAATGTCTTCTGTTGCGAATACCTGCGTTTGGAGAGCAGGGCAAAGCAGAAGCGTACAAGATAAAAAGACCATCAACATAGAGATCGCATCGTCAGAATAGTCTTACTGAAAGGACCACAGAGACATTTTGAGATCTATAAACACAAGGGAAACAAGATATATTTATCACAGGAAACAAAATATAATGATATAGTTCTCTTAAACATGTAATTTTACAAGCTGAAAGATCAAGGGGAAAATGCTGAAATTCAGAGAAACATGTTTTTCTTCAGATGAATAAATGCAAGATGAGATTTGAAATAGCAACCAGTGATCTGAGTTACTTGTATTCCTTCTCACTCCCGTGTTTAGGGGACAACAGGGGACTTGGCTTGCAATACTCATCAGAAAATCCTTCTCCAGGAGGTCTTGCCTCCCGGGGAGAACAGCCTGCACGGATTCTGAGCCCCAAAACACAGCTCCAAAGCTGGCATTTGTCTGCAGCGTGCAAACTGAAGCTCAGAATTCAAAGAGGTGACACAGCTAAAACATCAGCTCATGAGATTCCAATCAATGCCTCAGCTATTTCTGAGCTGCCCCCTCAGTATGGATTCTGGCTCCCATTTCCTTACAGTCCCCCAAACCACAACCCAAGTCTTTTTGTCCCAGTTGTTTTCAAGTCCCCCCAACCCCCATGGATAAGAGCTCCTTGCCATGCAACCCACAAGAAACTGAAAACAGGAACTGTGACATCCTACGCTCCCCACCCTTGGAGGTCAGGAAAGTGCCCCAGAACTTTTCATGAGGTCAAGTGTTCCCCGCAAACTGCCGAGTAGGCAGGGCAAGGACTTCTCCCCAACACTGACCACACTTGTCTCTATTTCTCTCCACCTCAGTTTAGGAATTCACTCCCTCAGGGCTCTTCCATTCATTTGTTCACCCATTCATTCATTCACTCTTCACTTACCCAACAAGAGTTCACCAGGCCCTCCCTTTCCCAAGTCAACAGTAGGTTCAACCCTACTGCCAGGGTGATATCGAGATATCATGCCACCCTCTCTGGTCTCCAGGAGTTCCAGGATGCTGCCAGGGATCTGGCAGAAAGAAGTATTAACACACAGGCTGGGTGGGGCTGTCCCACTGGTAGCTAACTAACCAGGTGCCTTGAGCTCAGGAGACAACACCTCACCTCCCAAGCTGTGTTCCTTTTTGGCTTTCCTTGGTATCCTTTCAGCTTATTCCCAGGCTCACTCTACATCTGGGCCATGAAACTGCTTCTTGGAAATGCCTCTAGTTCTCCTGGCCCCAGGCCCTTCCTTAGGTTACAGGGCACCTGCTCTCAGTCCTGTCCTGCCCTCTGGCATAGGCCTCTGACTAGAGCATTCACCTTCTCAGCTGGGATGCTCTCTGAGAAACACTGCTTTGGAGTCATCCTCTTATTCTGCCCAAAGGTTCTGTTCAGTACAATTGACCTCAAGTACCCAAAGCAACTCAACAGATCCTGCAAAGCCAACCTTTAAAATATCCTGGAATAAGCCAGGCACAGTGGCTCACACCTGTAATCCCAGAACTTCGGGAGGTCGAGGTGAGATGACTGCCTGAGCCCAGGGGTTTGAGGCCAGCCTTGGGCAACTTAACAAGACCTCATCTCTACAATAAATTTAAAAACTAGCCGGGTGGGGTGGCACGCACCTGTAACTCTAGCTACTTGGAAGGCTGAGGCAGAAAGATCGCCTGAGTTTGGCAGGTTGAGGCTGCAGCAGCCCTGAGCATGCCACAGCACTCCAGCCTGGGCGACAGAGTGAGACTCCAACTCAAAAAATATCAAAAAAATAATAATAATAAAAAAATAAAAAGCCCTGGGAGGTAAAAAAAAATTATAAAACCACCTGGCGATAATTTAGCTCTACTCAACGTCTTCTACACAGGGCTCAGTCTTCCACACCAACTTGTCTGAACAGTTAGAGCAGCAAGCCTGTGCAAATTCGGATTTCTCAAGAGTCAAAAGCACGCAGTATTTCCTTCCTTCCTTTTAATTGATTTCTCAGGAGTCAAACGCACTATTTTTTTCCCCAAAACATCTTAACTCTCCACATTTCATTCTCTTATAAATTTGATAGAAATAATGAAACAAAAGGATAAGCAAAGGTTTTGTTTGTCTCAGAAAAGGAAACATCCTTAAAAAGAGCAACCCCAGTCAATCCGCTCTGGTTGTGACAGCTTCTGGAGGCGGACTGCCACTCTTGGGCCTCCAGGGACGACTGCTGTTCCTCGGCCGGCCACCAGAGGCAGACCCTGCCCATGGTTTGCTGCAGACGCTGGGAGTCAGCGCTGGCGCTGCCTTTTCCTGCCGTAACCTCACTGAGACTGTGACACACAAGAAAAACGCTGGCAGAGTCAGGACCACCAAACGTGAAGGCATGTCGGTGAGAGCATAAAGGGGAATGGAGCCTGCTGAGAGAACCCGGTAAGAGCTAGGACAGGCGAGCAGGATCATGGCCGCCCGTCACATTTGGGGCCACACTGGTGGAAACCCGCTGATGTGTATATTTTTCCATTTCACAAGATTATGAGAAAACCATGGGCCATCTTGTCCAATCCCCTGGTTTTGCAAAAGAGGAAACTGTGTGTGACTTCCTCAAGATCACACAGTTAGTTGGTAGAATCAGAACCAAATTTTGTGAGTCCTAGACAAAACCTCTTAAGGAGTGAAATCAACCTCCCAGCCAAATGTAAGTTTCTTTTAAAAAAAGAAAAAATAAAAGGAAAAAAGTTAAGCTTCTAGAACTCACAAGAAGAACTTTATTTTTTTTTTTTTTTTTTTTGAGTTGGAGTCTCACTCCACCGCCAGGTTGGAGTGCAGTGGCATGCTCATGGCCATGCCAGCATCGACCTGCTGGGCTCCAGTGATCCTTCCACCTCAGCCTTCCGAGTAGCCGGAACTACAGGTGCACGCTACCACACCCGGCTAATTTCTGATTTATTGTAGAGACGAACTCTGGCCAAGTTGCCCGACCAGTCTCAAACCCATGGGCTCAAGCCATCCACTCACCTCGGCCTCCCTAAGTGCTGGGATTATAGGCTAAGCGATGTAGCCTGGTCCAAGAAGTACTTTTATTACCGCTTTCTGGTTTCACCTGCATAGTTCAAGTTACTTAGCAGCCTGTATGTTCTGAAGATGTAGTACTGTTTCTTTGTAATGAAGGAGAGGCATGCTACTGATGGCCAGAGGGAGAATAAACCCAATTCGGATTCCACAAACCAGGAGTAAAGTTCAGTAAAGCCCTCCCGCTGGGTTCATCAGTGTTTCACTGTATGCTTATTTCCACAGTTGATACCAGACATATGCTGAGGCCCAGCAATGGGCTCCATTTACTTCCTGGGAATGGATCCCTCCTGTGATGTTCCTTTCTAAGGGAACTACCACATACCCTGAGGTGACAGCCTCTGCTGTTGGAATTGTCACATGTATCAATCACGTGGAAATCCGTAATTATGAATCAGAAACCACAAACTTTTGGCTGCAGCCACATAAAACTATCAGCACCGCCAATCTAGAAAACCATGCACTAAAACTTGATACACTCCTAGACTGCAGCAACTGCCTTCAAGCTTCCTATTCCCTGAGATAAAGAATGGTAACTCCTGGGCAAATATATCACCACTACCTTACCCTGCTGTCATGGCAAGACATCACTAATCAGTTCAGGACACATTACCTTACTGAGCCAATAGGGCCTCAAAGTCTTCTCAACCCAGCCTTGCAGGGAATCATTATAACTCGATCAAGGTGGCACTGAGAAGAAATGTCTATCCTCTCTGGTCTCTCTACTCTTTGTGATGTTCACCACACTCTACTGATTCCTCTGTTTCAAACTTCCTAAGCACTGCTCTGCAGACCTTGTAAAAATCTTCACAGGGTCATAAGATGTAGAGGTTTTTGAAAACTAATAAGGAATTTGCACTGTTAATAACATCATAAATCAACATGATTCTTATGGAAAGTAAATTACAAACTATAACAAGATCCATAGTCTCGGGAATTCCATTCCTCCAAATGTAATTAAAAGAAGAAAAAAATTAAGCACAAAAAAGTTCACTGCAATGCCAATTTATAAAAATGAGCATGGCCTAAATAACCTACCAATTAAATAAACTGCAACATATACAGTAGTATTTTAAACCTTGATGCCATTCCAATGAAAATGTTCAAGAAATAGAATGTGATTTGTCCACAGTGTGTTCTATAGAAATAACACTGAGCCTCACATCCCAGTTAAGATCACCCAGCAATTCTAGCATCTTTCTTTGGTGTCAGAATCAGAGATAACCTACATGGTGAGGATTTTTGCATTAATTTGCTTATTTGTTTTTATTATTCAGTCATTCACTTAGTTGAATGTTTAGACTTTAAGCCTTACATACTTCCAAAACGTGTTAAGCATTGATAACAAGCTAAGTTAGGAAACTTAGGAGGCCTATACAGGGCAGGCAGACCTCGTGGGTAGACAAAAATGAAATAAAGAGAGAAACAGGCAAGACTGTGGGTAGTTAATGGTTTGGATTATTCTGACCCCAAAGGTGAGGAGGGGTCAGCCAAGAGCACCCTAGGAATCCAGCCAAGAGAGGTAAAGGTCCCATCAAGGCACCAAGGACACATGCACACACGCCCCCTGCCCAGCCCACCCCATCCAGTATGCAAATGGTTCTGTGTGGAGACACCTGCAGACCAAGGCGTGCTCCATAACAGGGGCAATGCCACGCATGCCTGGCCTGTCCACCTTGGGAAAGATGGAGCTTGCAGATGAAAAGATGAAGCCATGAGGCCAAGAGGCAAAACGTCTGTGTCTTGGAGCAAGCAGGGTGCCTCAGCCCAGTCCAGGAAGGGTCTTGCTACCCCAGGTCTCAGCAATCCAGACCAGGGCTATTTGAAGGCACCACCTACCCTCTTCCTGGCCCCCAAACCTGTGTCTACTCAGAGCAGAAAACAAAATGGGCTCAGGAAGCACTGCTGTCTGCCCCTACAGAGCTCAAAGAAGCCCCACAGAAATGTGACACAAATTCCATACTAACCCCCCGCAAAGCACTTTTTTGAAGCTTTGGCCAAAGGGAAGAAAATGTACCCCCCCCCGAAGCTCACCCCTGCTCTGGGTTTGTTACAAAGCAATGGGCAGAAAATCCCAATCACACATACCACACCAGAGTCTGAGGTCCCCAGAGTATCAGTTGGCTGGACCTCAAGGGCATGGAACCAACCATGCTGCCCATCAAAACTGGACTGGATTTTAAAAAGTGTTACATACACACAATGGAATATTATGCAGCCATAAAGGACAAACATATGGACTTCGCAGCAACTTGGATGGATTTAAAGACAATCATACTCAGTGATCTATCACAGAAACAAAGAACAGAGTACCATATGTTCTCACTCGTAAGAGGACCTTGAACAATTATCATAATACTATAAGAAAGGGATTGGCAGTAGTGGGAAACTGCCAGGGGAGGGAGGGTGGGATTGGCAGTTGAGGGAAACTGCCAGGGGAGGGGGGACACACCTCATCAACAACAAGAGTACCTGCATAATGAACATTTGTATAGTTAATCCTGAATTGTATCCCACATCTTTAAAAAGAAAAAAAATTGTAAACATGGCTTTCTTTAGTTCTCTGAATATATTTATAAGTAAATTCTCTTCTAAAATGAAAAAAAAGAAAAAACTTCCCTGGAGACTTCTAGTTCATCCATCACCTGATTCTGTGCCTAGGTCTCCCTTTCCATCAAAGAGACCCGAAGTGTTTTGCTCCTGGATGTCATTAAAGGACTTGTCAGAATTATGGACTTAATGGACCTGTTTGTTAAGCCCTGGATAATATCTTGGTGGTATAAAATAATTTCTGTGCAACCCAAGCACTTTTTACCAAAGAGATACTTTCACGCTGAAAAGGGTCTGATATTTATAAATCACAGTGACTACTACCAAAGAAAGTACCATGAAAACAGAAAACATGATTAAACTCCAGTCCGTATTATGCCAGTTTCATTACCACACACTCTACAAAGATTCCCTTTGGTGGCAATGAGAGTAAATCTCACTCAGGAAGAGTGAATCTCCGCCTTCACACATTTCAGGAAAACTTGAGCTAGTCATGCAAGAAAATCCAACCCTGGGCATCTTAATGTAATTGGAAAAGCACACCACAAAATTATTTGAGGAAAACACAGTATCAATAACAAACTTCTGCACATTCCAAGAAATTATACTACCATTCTTTCATTTCTGGTTATTTTGAAACATATCCAAGGTGGCTATTATAACAAATGTTTCAAAATCCATCTGCAAAAAGAAACTAACAACATATTTTATAAAGATGGAACCCTGTCTCACATTCAAAAAGATGGGTTCTGCCCTGAGTCTGACAGTCACTAGACTTTGTTGTCTCTACCTATCTCATGAGGGAAAATGTTCCTTGAAGAGCTGATTTTAAACACATAAATCACATAAGTGAACTTAAGTATTTAGACGAATGCCCCATGAACATTAATCAGCATAGCTTAGAAATGCCCATAATTCTCTACATGAAACGATCTAAAGCCCACATGCAGACAGTAAGGTGGCATGTTTAAGGGACAAAAATTGGTCAGGAGAGATGCAGAAATTCCTTCTAGAGAATATGAAGAAATAAACAGAAATGAGGAGCATGAAAACCACAAGAAAGAGATGATCAGAGGGTGCAAGGAGGAACACACGCACACAAATTCACACACTTTATTTCAAGGGGTCCTCACAACAGCCCTCTGTAAAGGGGAGGAGAGGTGACATCATCCACAATTCTCACAGAAGAAAACTATGGATTGCACATGCTCCCGTGACTGGCAAAGACCAAGTCAAGACTAAGACTTCATGTTCTCCATGTCCGGTGCTCTGTTTACCAGCCAAACCGTCTCTCTGCAGAAGGCAGGCATGCACAAATTCATTCACTGATGCATTGCTTGTGCAGTCAGCAGTACCAAGGACAGGGGATAAAAAGATTAAGTCCTGATTCCTGCAGTGAGGACACTTACAAACGAGACTTAAACTTTACAAAGAAATCAAAGGCAGGAGGTTAGGGAGATAGTGTCTGAACTAATTGTACAGGCAATCCCCAATACAGCAGCTGGATTGCTGATGGCCGTGCTCCAAATGAGCATTTGTTGGCGAATCATGTGAAGCCTAAATATGCATTTTTCCATTGAATTCCTGCTGTAAATAAAGAATGATTATTTCCCAAGCTTGCCACTGAGCTACAGCCCCTACAGTGAACCCCCACATTCACAGACAACATTGCGTTCATAGGAAAACTTAGTCTTCCAAACAGGATTTCAACCAGTGGGACCCCGACTGCAGGCCATTAGTATAAGCAGAATGCTCTAGGGTTATAAGAAGACCATTTGGTGAACAAATGGCCCAGTGGATTTAGATTCTAGTCATACTGCCAACTGTATAAACCTTTCACA